TTCTATTTCTTTTTTTTTTTTTTTTTTTTTTTTTTTTTTAAAGATGACTGGTAAGGGGATCTTAACCCTTGACTTGGTGTTGTCAGCACCACGCTCTCCCAAGTGAGCCACAGGATGGCCCTCAAAATCCTCCTTTTCATCAACTTCTGCTTAAGTTATAATTTCTTTGTGGTCCTTATATAACAGTGCTTATTTTCCAAGTAGTCAGTTTTGATTTTTAATTTTTTTGTCAGACACCTTGATGTCGGTGGTTTTTTATTTCATTGGAAATGTGGCCTGTAAAAATCCACCTTTTTGAATCTTAATGTTTTCTTTGTGGATAAGTACTTGATTGACTTCTGTAAATGTTCCATGGATATAAGAAGGGATTTTATTTCCTCATAGGGAACAAAGTTCTGTTGATGTCTGTAGGTGAGTATTAAGCCACAGGTATATAGAAAGACTGTGGGGGGAGGGGGTGTGTGTGTACCTGTGTATACATCCTTTTTTTTTTTCCCAGAGCCATTTGAAAGTGTAAATTTAAGGTGTCATAACTCCAAGGTCAAGGGTTAGAAATCCAGCTGTCAAAAAAATTTAAGGCGTCAAGATAATTTCATCTTAAAATACTTCAGCATGCATCTCCTATGAATTAAGTTCATTTTCCTAAAAAATCCTCAATCTTAAAGAAAATGAATAATGTAATATCTAATATGTAGAACATATTTAAATTTCTTCAGTCTTTTCGATCTTTCCAAAAATGTCTTAGGCAGAAATAAATGGGGGGAGAAAAGACAGAAGTGTCTCAGGCCATTTTTTTTTTTCTTTTCCAATCCAAAATTTAGTCAAGGTTCATTTGTTTTTCCTTACGGAACAACTTCCCTACTTTTTGCTTTTTAGGTCATAAACTTGTCCAGGCCAGTTGTCTTGTAGAGTGTCTCATTCTGGATTTCCTGTCTGATAGTTTCTTCATAGTTAACTTCAGGTTATGCATTTTGGCAAGAATATACATGATAATGTACAATTTATGCACAATATTGGAGTCACACATGAGATTGTTACACTACTGATGATACTAAGTTTTGGGGGTTTTTTGTTATTTGTTTTTTCTGACCGGTAAGGGGATCGCAACCTTAGGCACGGTGTGGTCCGCGCCAAGCTCAGCCAGTGAGCGAACCGACCATCCCTACGTAGAATCCGAACCTGCCTTCTCGGCCCTACCAGGGCCGCACTCTCCCGAGTGAGCCATGGGGCCGGCCCTGATACTAAGTTTGATCACCTGGTTAAGGTGGTAACCACTAGATATAACTTTGCTAATGGTCCCTTTTTAGTTAGTTTCAACATCTATTAACAATACTTTCCTGGCTCATTTCTCACTGAGAATGGCAATGATGGTAGTTTTCTAATTCTATCCTTTCTGTATTTATTATCGGACTTTCTCTCTAAAGAATAGCTCCCTACCCACACTCACCCTTTTTTGTTGTTTTGTTCTACTGTGGACTCTGTGGATTTTTTTTTTTTTTAATTCAGTGTCTTATGATCTATTACAGCAGTGGTTCTTAAAGTGTCATCCCCAAAAAAGCAACTTTACTAGGAACTTGTGCAAACCGGAGTAGTAGACACCCAGTAATCTGTTTTAACCAGCCCTCAATCTGCATGCTTAGACCAGTAGACGCTTGATAGGCCACTTAACTGCTTAAATGGATGAAATTGATGTGAGATGTTGGAAGGCATTCACGATAAGTGAAAAGGAACAATGGAATCACTTTTGTAAAACAAAAACAAAATAATTAAGGAAACTGTGTTCCGTGAGTTCGGAGGTAAGAGTAGCGAACCTAACGTCTTATTTTACATCCTACCGTGCCTTTTGAATTTAACTTATCAGGAGCTGTATTTGATAATGGAAAGGAAGAGCACTGGGGGAAACTATGAAAGAATTATCGGCCCTCTTGTTCAGAGGTCTGAGCTGCTGTGTTTGTGCAAGGACATAGTGTCCCTTACACGGCCAACTACAATGAAAAGCTACAAATCAACTAGGCATTTATAGGCCGTGCATTTTCTCATCGCCCACCGCGCTCCCGTTCCCAACGCCAAGGCTGAATGACCACTTAGGTTGGGGTTTTGTCACCTCCACCCTGCTCTTCCCGGAGCCGGGAGTGCCCCAAACGTCTGTGATCCAACCCCTAGCTCAGCACCCGGTATAGCTGACGTTTAGTTACAGTTCTTCGAATTTTTTCTAGTAGTCTTTAAGGATTAAGGCCAGTGGAGGAAGGATAACGGCCAAGAGCAGTAGCCATGGCAACTGGGAAACGGAGCGGAAAGGGTGGGGCCCTGGGGAGGAAGGGGCGGGACCCTCAGGCTCCTTCCGGGCGTCAATTTAGTGGCGGGAAAAGCAACCTCTTCTGAGCGGCCTGTGCTTGTGCTTCGCACTAACCCGCAATGGAGAAGCAGCCCGAGAACCAAGCCGCCGCCGAGCCCGCGGACTCCGGAGGGGAAGGCGGGGCGGGCGGGCCGCCACAGGTCGCCGGCGCCCAGGCGGCGCGCAGCGAGGACCGCATGACCCTGCTGCTCAGGTTGTTCCCTCTGGTCCCCGCGGCCGGAGCCCAGTGGGTGTGGTGGCCGAGAGCTCCGCCCATTGCTCAGGAGGACCAGCGTTCGAATGTACCCTCGGTCACTTAATGACCGTGGCCGGGCTGGTTGGTTAGCCCAGTTGATTAGAGCACAACCTTCTGACACCAAGGTCACGGCTTCGCGTGCCCCAACCGAAAAAAAAAAGGCTCCGTGACTGCACGTTTCACTTCAACTCCTTAAGCCCTTCATCTGCGAAAAGGAGACAAAAATGACTCTCGGCAGAGATACGGGGCTTAAGTGAGATACTTGGGAAAGTGTTTAGCACACAGCGCCCAGGGCGCTCAGGAATCCCCTCGGAGCTGTGGCTTCCCCTCACGCCGGGCCCGGCTTTTCGGGCAGGATGTGCGGCGCATCCAAGTCGGAGCTACTCGAGGGAGGGTGTATTTTCTTTCTCGTATAGCTACGACACTTTGTCATCCGGAGGCTTCATTTGTTATGTATTCTACTAAGAGGAGGATGTTTATGCTTTTCCACTAAGCAGTTGCTAGGGAAGGTTTGATGAGAAGGGACATCAGTCTTCTAAACCAGTGGGCAAACTAATGCCCTGGGCCAAATCCCCCCTAGTGCCTGTTTTTGTGTGACCACTCAAGCTAAGAATAGTTTTTATGTGTTTAAGGGGGAGGGAGGAGAGGGTTAATCACAAGAAGAATATTTCATAACACGTGAAAATCATATGAAATCCAAATTTTAGTGCCCATAAATAAAAGTGTATTGGAACACAACGGCTACAAGGGTAGAGTGGAATAGGTTAAAACATAAGTAAAAAATATGATTCACAAAGCCTAAAGTTTTGCTCTGTGGTCCTTTACAGAAAAAATGTTCGCAGACCTCTGTTGTGAATCATAACAAGGGGATTTTTTTTAAGCATTGTGACTATATATTAGCTTAACCATTGCTCTGAAAGGCCTTGACTAATAATCAACCTCAGTCTCACTTAAAAATTCCTTCTTATCTACAATATAAAATACTTAAAGATAAAAAATCTCCTTCAGCATTTCAGCTATTCTTTCCATGTGTCTTGTAGAATACTAGCCTCGTTAACCTCGAAGAAATTGCTGTTTTCATTTAGAATTTTGAAACATAAGGAATCTGCCACGGAGTTTTAGGAATTTCTGTAATGCTTCTTAGCTACTTAAAAGGGTTACATCTGTTGTGTTTTTCTTTTGCCAATTTACTATGATTGTACATGGGCCACCACTCCCCCCCCAACCTGTGGGGGACAGGAGAGGGGTACTTGGCCCTGCCTGCTCCACTTTTTCTGTCTTGGAACTATACCAGATAAAATCACTTGTTTGTTCAGTTTATCACTGAGAGGGGAAAAAAAGGGGGGGTCTCCAAAGTCACAAGGTAACAGTTTCAGAATTATGAAAATATCATGCAAGTGTGTAATATTTGTGGATTTACAAAATATTTTGAAAATACAACTTAATAACTAATTACCATTTTACGCATAGTTTTTCTACTTATTTTAAAGAATAACAGAACTAAGAAACTATGTGAATTACATATCTATCCAAGAATTAGTATCTGTTATTTTTTTGTATCTCCTAAGTATGTTAACAATCTGTGTTTGTAACTTATTTATAGTGTTTCCCAGGTTTCATCATTTTGGTTTATTTCTTCTTTGTGTAGCAGTTTTCATTAAGCCCCATCCAGTTTGACCTATTAAGCATGAATTTAAAAACAACATTTTTTACTTTTTCTCACAGATGCCATTTTCCTACTGTACTCCATTTTGTCTTCCTCTGAGGCCTTAAAGTTCCTTATGCCCATTTTAAATAAAATGAAGCCAAACTGGAAGACTTTAGTGCTGAGTTTAACTATTTATACTCATTTTGTCATAACAGCTTCTGAAAAAGATGAATTGGTGTATCATATGGTAATGAGTAAAACCTCAATTAATAAATATGTGACTTTCTTTTTATTTGTTTTCAGGCTGAGAGCACAGACAAAACAACAACTCTTAGAGTATAAGTCGATAATTGATGCAAGTAAGTATTTTCATTTCAAATAAGATTTTGTGAGATTGATCATCAATGGTACTCTAGGGAAAATAAAATCAACTTTACAAAAAATTGTTTTTATACATTTTAGTGTAGCAAAACAAGTAAACAAAGAAACATGCAAGATAATTGAAGTATGGTAAGTGTGAGGAAGGGAATAATGGCTTGATAAAAGGGAAGGGTTACTTTAGATAGAGTGATTGGAGATGGCTCTTCTGAGAAGATGATTTTAGGGCTGAGATCCAAATGATAAGAAAGAGTCTGCCTACTCATACAGTCCTTGTTTTCCTTGTACAGATAATTCCATTTTTAAGGGATTGTGGCATCTGTAAACTTGGGTAGATTTAATAGTCCACATTATAGAATTTCTATACCTAAAGGAGAGATTTAAAGCAGGCCACAGGAAGTTTAGTTGTAGATACTTATCTGAACTATTTTTTTTAAATAAATATTACTGAGACTTCATTGGTTAAAGGATTTTTTTTTATAATAAAGGCGTTTATTTTAAGGGTACAATTTGATGAGTTTTTTGATGAGTATTGACAAATGTATTCATCTTGGTAACCACCACCACCACAATCAAGATATAAAACATTTTCATCATGAAAAAAGATTCCCTTGTGCCACTTCACAGTTAGTCCCCACTCTTACCACTAATTTGAGTTGTTACTATATATAAATTTGTCTTCTAGAGTAGTGCTGTCCCATAGGGTAGCCACTGGCCGCATGTGGGTTTTCTAAGTTAATTATAATTAACTATTTATAATTATTTATAACTATTTATATAACTAATTATATAATTAAATAAATTATAAAATTAAGTTTTCTAGTTGCACCATCCACATACCAGATGCTTACTAGCCACATGTGGCTAGTCGCTGCACTGTTGGACAGCACAGACATAAAACATTTCCATCATCACAGAAAGTTCTGGGCTCTTTTCTCTGTACGCACTGTCTTGATTACTGTAGCTTTAGAGTAAATTTTTTTTTGCTGCTAGCCGGTATGGGGATCCATATAGTGAGTCTTGATATCAGCTACTATAAGTCCTCCAACTTTGTGCTCCTTTGTCAAAATTGTTTTGGCTACCCTTTGCATTTCTACATGCATTTTAAAATTAGCTTGTCAATTTCTACAGAAAAAAAAAGTCTGATAAAATTTTGACTAGAATTTGATTCAGATCTATAGATCAATATGGGGAAAACTGTTGTATTAGGAGAATCAATGCTGCTAATATATACATGGTATAGCTATCCATTTCAGTTTTTAGCAGTGTTCAATGTCGAGGTCATACACATATTTTGTTAAATCTATCCTTAGGTATTTCATGTTTTTCATATTTCATGTTTTTGAATGACATTGTTCATGATAATTTTTAAATTTTAATTTCCACTTGTTTTTGGCTAACATATAGACCTACAGTTTATTTTTTGACATTATCTTGTTTATTTTTACCTTTCATTTTTCTGTCATTCTAAAACTGTTTTGTCCAATATGGTAACCACTAGCTCTTTGTGACTATTGAGTACTTGAACTATGGTTAGTTCTCACTGAGATGGGCTGTAAATGTAAAATATACACAAAAGAAAAAAATTTATTTCTAGCATAGACAGTGTCTTAAAAAAAAAAAAAGAATGAAATATTTCATTAGTAACTTTAAATTGATTACATGTTGAAATAATCTTTTGGATCTATTGGGTTAAATAAACTAATTTTACTTGGTTTTTTTTACTTTCGTAATGTGGAAACTAGACATTAAATTACATATTTTGCATTTGTGGCTTATATTCTTGTTGGACAGCACTGTTCTAAATGTTATTAACTTCATAAAACTATTATTTGTAGATGAAGAAAAAACTCCAGAACAAATCATGCAAGAAAAGCAAATTGAAACGTATGTCATATTTTTAGATTTTATTTGTAGTTTTTACTAAGACTTAATCATATTATTCATGTTATAACATTTTCTTTATCCTTTTCTTTGTTTTCCAAATAATTTGTCATGCTTATATTGGGAACTTGTTGATTTGGGATGGAGACTTACAGGTACATGAATGATCATATTAGCCTTTTCTGGCATTCCCCCTTACCAGATACTAAATAGAGTAAGTAGCTCAGGAGGCATCAGTTTCAAATCTGTAAGTATGCATTGGTATGGTGAGCCTATAGAATACTTTTATTTAGAAAAAAGTGTTTTACTTTTATCAAATACTTACTTTATACATGTATTTCAATAATGACTTTTTCTATTATTAAAATTCTTCTGTTCATGCTTCTTATATAGTAAAATTGAAGACCTGGAAAATGAAATTGAAGAGGTAAAAATTGCTTTTGAAATGAAAAATCTTGCACTAAACAGGTAATTATTACATTTTAAATATAATATTATGAGCTGAATGCAAAATGGATATGAGAGTGAGTTGGAGGGAATTTCATAACCAGGCTAAATGAATTAGTCAAGTGAAATGATAATTAGATAATGCTCACACAAATTTTGAGCACCGAGAGAAAAGTTACATCATTCATTAATATCTTCATTTGAAGAAGTTACATAGGAATGGGTTAATAAGGAAACTTAAATCAAGACAATAGAAGTGTGAGGTTAAATCTCATTTGGTATTTGACAGGATTACACAAATTCATACTGGAATAAGTAACTATTAATCCAGTAAAATAATTATCATTGGGTTTAAATATACAGTCAGGACTGGCCAGTTAGCTCAGTTGGTTAGAGCAAAGTGTTATAACACCAAGGTCAAGAGTTCAGATCCCCATACTGGCCAGCTGCCTACATACATACATGCATACATACATAGTCAGCCCTCCACATCTGTGGGTTCCACATCCGTGGATTCAACCAACCTCAAATTGAAAATATTCAGTGGAAAGAAATTGCATTTCCATTGAACATTTTCTTGTCATTCCCTAAACAATATAGTATAACAGTTATTTACGTAGCATTTACATTGTATTAGATATTAAAGTAATCTAGAGAGTATTTAAAGTATACGGAAGGATATGCATAGGTTATATGCAAGTAGTATGCCATTTTATATAAGGGACTTGAACATCAGTGGATTTTCGTATCTGTGGGATGTCTTAGAACAAGACAAACATGGTGTCTTATAGACTTGTGATTTGAAACATCAACCTAAAGGAAGAAACTGATGCAGAAATATATAAAACAATGAGTTTATTTGGGGCAAGGTTTAGGACTGTAGCCCAGGAGACAGATTCAGGTTGCCCTGAATATGTGCTCCACTTGGCAGCAGTTACAGATTTTTAACAGGAAAAAGGGAGAAGTTAAGGGGGCAGTCCCAAAGTTGTTTGCCAAGAGTTTACATTGGTTCACTAAAACAACATAAGCTACTGATTGGCTATACATTGCTCTTTGCATCATAAATTCCAAGAATGTTGCAACAAAGAAAGAGTGCAGGTCACATTGTATAACTTGTGCTAACATTTGGATAATTTACACCCATTGAGGGAGGCAGTTAGTCTGGATACTATTGCTAAAACATGTCTTAGCAATTTTCCGAGACATAGGGGAGGGAGACTTGACTGAAGCCCCATGCTTATATCTCTCTGCACCTGATAAATTTAGCAAACCTCACATGGCTCAGGTTGTTCTGGGCCACTTTTCTTTCTCAAAATTAGTAATCTTAATTAAGTGACCATCTCTTATATTTACTTCCTTGTGTTTCTGGCCTTCCCAGATGAATTTCTTCATAAATTTAATTGAAAAGTAGTTAAAGCTGTTTTAATTGCTTTTAGCAGTAAACTTTTCCTCCCTCCTATCATTTGCTGGCTCGTCATATTGATCATATTTTTGTGTTCTGCTTCCCATCTGGGATTTTTTTTTTAATGGCTGGCCAGTACAAGGATCGAACCCTGGACCTTGATATTATCAGAACCATGCTCTAACCAACTGAGCTAACTGGCCAGCTCCTGATCATATTTTTTAATTAAAGTGACATTGGAGCTATTAAGATATTGCCTTTTAATTAATCAAATTTTCTATGTGTGACAAAAGGGAAGAAATAACTATTGTTGCTAAGTTGATTGCCTTTATATTATTGCTTATTTATTATCTATGTGAATTTAAACGTATTTTATGTAGGCATGGTTTTTGTTTTTATTTTTTATTATTATTTTTTTTTCTTAAAAAGATGACCGGTAAAGGGATCTTAACCCTTGACTTGGTGTTGTCAGCACCACGCTCAGCCAGTGAGCGAACCGGCCATCCCTATATGGGATCCGAACCCGGGGCCTTGGTGTTATCAGCACCACACTCTCCTGAGTGAGCCACGGGCCGGCCCTATGTAGGCATGTTTTAAAGTTTACTGTCAAGTATGGTTTTGTATTCCCTAAGTCTTTTCAGGCTTGTGCTGATGTCTATACTGCGTTAATCCTTCCCCGCAGTCCTGCACTGGGTAGATGACAGCTCATCCAGCTCAGGCTGGATTTCAGGTCCACTTGACCTCTCAGCCTGACAGTGTACAGCCATGTGCAACAGTCCCAACCCATCTTAGTTTTATCTCATATTTCTGTGATTTAATGCTCAAAGTGTTTCTCATACAATACTGTTTTAAAACCTACTTATGTTTTATGTATATTTAAAGGAAAATCTATCTTTAACTTCTCATGTTTAAAAAATTTTTTATTGTACCATAAATGTATCCATGTTTTATAATACAAGTTTTTTCCCTCTCATAGGATGCAACTTTCAACTGCGCTTAAAAAAAACCTGGAAAAAATTGACACCAAAACTAGGTATGATTTTTTTTCCTGGATTTGTTAAGGATGGGAATAAAAAGGGAGATCTGTATAATGACTTTAGTTTTGTGAATTTTTATTTATTTATTTATTTATTTTGGCAGCTGGCTGTAAATTTTTTTAATTAACTGTCACTGCCAACTGCTTTTATCTGGGGAATAAAAAAAGTGATGGAATTTTTGTGGACCCTCCCCAGAATTACAACTTTTATAGTCCTATTGACATCTTGTTCCATATGGATTGCATCTGTAAAAAGCAGGAGGTTTTATCCAGACAAGCGGAAAAATTTGAAGGACGATTTTGAAGGTTAACTTTTATTTATTATTTTCTATAAACCTGGAACAATTCTATCTCATTTAATTCAAAAAAACCCCAGTAAGATAGGAAGTATACTCCACATTTTTCATGGTAGAAATGAGCTTGTTCAGATTAAACAGTTTGCCAAGGAATGTAAAATAAAGACTGGCAGTCAAGATCTACTGTCTGGGCCGGCCCGGTGGCGCACTGGATAGTGCGCTGCTTGGGAAGCGCGGCGGCGCTCCCGCCCAAGGGTTCGGATCCCACATACAGACCGGTTCCCGCTCACTGGCTGAGCGAGGCGCGGGAGCAGCACCGAGGGTTGCGATCCCGTTGCCAGTCCCGGTCCGGTACGGGGGCGACACTGAGGGTTGCGATCCATTGTCGGACACGGAAAAAGACAAAAAAAACAAAAAAACAAACAAACAACAACAAAAAAAGATCTACTGTCTGGTCCTAAGTGTCTGGACTCAGGGGCTTTAGCGCTCCCGCCCGAGGGTTCGGATCCCACATACAGACCGGTTCCCGCTCACTGGCTGAGCGAGGCGCGGGAGCAGCACCGAGGGTTGCGATCCCGTTGCCAGTCCCGGTCCGGTACGGGGGCGACACTGAGGGTTGCGATCCATTGTCGGACACGGAAAAAGACAAAAAAAACAAAAAAACAAACAAACAACAACAAAAAAAGATCTACTGTCTGGTCCTAAGTGTCTGGACTCAGGGGCTTTACTGTGATCTTATCTCCCAAAACTCTAAAAATCTTCTGATAAAATATCCTCTGCCATTAGCACCAGAAAAATTCCAAGGTGGATCTAGGCATTTCTCCTCTCTGGGCTTCTTAGCCCAGAGTTATATGCATTTTCCTAGCATCAGGATTACATAAATCCTAAAATATGAATTTGGTCTCTCTTAACTATTGCTCCCCAGTAAAAGGAGAGCTTAAAACATTCTTGAGTTAAAAGGGTTAAAAAATTTTTAGAGCTGGCCAGTTAGCTCACTTGGTTAGAGCACTGTGCTGATAACAAACATCAAAGCACCAAGGTTCAAGGGTTTGATCCCTGTACTAGCCACAAACACACACACACACACACCACACACCACACACACACACACACACACACACCACACACCACACACACGCACGCACGCTAAACTCTATCTAGGGACTTTGCCTTTAACCAATCAAATATATTTTCTTTTTCTTGATTCCATGAACACCTTATAAAAGTTTCCTCTCTTCCTCCCCCTCCCTGTCACCCACAGTAGAGCACTGAACTGCGTGCCTAAGTTTATCTTTTAACACAACCAAGTATAACTGTAACTAGTAGAAAAATGAGTTCAAATGAATTCAGTTCTCCCAGGTTTGTGCAAACATTCCCCGTTTTGGGCCTTCCCAATAAGTTCCTTCTGCAATGTTTCTCACACCTGGCTGATTAACAGAATAATTAGTATTATCAGAACGATCACATTGTTGATCCTATCCCAAACCTACTAAATCAGAATCTCTGAAGATAGAGGGCTAGGAATCCATATTTAACAAGCCTGCCAAGTGATTGTCACATTCTGAAATATGACAGCCACTTGTTTGCCCAGTCTTATTTCACACCCCTTTGTTCCAGCCCTACCAAGCTACTGGATCTAGGTAATTACTTCATGTCCTTTAAGGCTCAAACATTTCCCTTGTTTCACCTTATGCATAACTTTGTTTCATATTCATTGTATACTCTACTATACCATATTTGTGGGTTTATTTTTCTCCTCCACCAGATTCTTTTTTTTGTTTGTTTGTTGGGTTTTTTTTTATTTTTATTTTTTTATTTTGTCAATATACAATGTGGTTGATTATTATGACCCATCACCGAAACCTCCCTCCCTCCTCCCTCTCCCCCCCTTCCACCCAAGAATGTCCTTTCTGTTTGCTTGTTGTAACACCTTCAAAGAAATTGTAGTTGTTATATCTTCTTCCACCCCCCCCGGTTTTTTTTTTTTTGTGTGTGTGTGTGTGTGTGTGTGTGTGTGTGTGTGAGTGAATTTATTTGTGTATTTTTAGCTCCCACCAATAAGT